TCCTTTCTTTTATTTCTTTGGCTGCTGTACTTTTCTTCTTTTTCCTTTTCTTCCCCGCCAAGAAAGAACCTATAATTTTGTTGTGTGTAATCCCTCTCTCCCTCTCTAACGATTGCCAAAAAAAGTAAAAAAGAGAACCTATAATTTTTTCCTTTCTCCAAGTGGGCAACATACATCAGTAAAAGACAGAGTGAACAAAACAATATAATATGAGGTAAGAAACGGGCGTGCTTGTAATTTTCGTGTCGTATTCATATCAACTCAGTTTTTTTTAGTGTTAACACGACACAACCTGTTAAGTTAATAATAGAATCTAAAAGGTAGACATTCAAAAAGAAATAGAGTAAGACATCACCGTTATCGCATCAATACTTGTCTTAAAAACCAAAGCCAAAGCCAAATCCTTAATCTATATATATAAAGCAAAAGGCAGAGAATGGTAAAACATTCAAAATACCAAAAAATGTCATTGGTTAATGCAAACATTAAGAATTGAAATTATTAATTAAATGAGGATAATATGGTAAATTCACACTTTGTGATATTAAAAAAAATATATTAAAAGAAAAATCAGATATGAATCCTATTTTTATGGAATACAACTACCCATTATCTTTTTTAATTCTAAAATAAAAATAAATTAAAAAAAAAAACTCTCGCATACGTGGAAGCTTGTGCGAAGAGGCTAGTAATAATAAAAACCAAAACCAAAGTTTATTTTTCGAAAGAAAAAGAATCCAACGTTGTTTCTTTTTCAAAAGAAAGTTCTAGTCAACTTTCCCACAAAAAATTTCAAGCTACTTTCACTTTCCCTCTGAGCTCTCTCCGTCTCTTCTCATCATCTCTTCTATCTCCTCCCTCCTCTTCTCTCTCTAGCCCCCAAAATCCTAAAATCCACACTAAGAATCAATAATTTCCCTAAAACCCAACCGAGCGAGGCTGTGGGATTTTTATCTTCAGAGTTTTCTTTTGGCTGACAATGGCGGGAGCGGACCATGCAATCGGGATTGACCTAGGGACAACATACTCTTGTGTGGCTGTGTGGCAGCATGATAATATAGAAGTTATAGTGAATGATCAGGGCAACAGGACCACTCCTTCTTATGTTGCTTTCACAAATACTGATCGCTTGATTGGTGATGCTGCATACAATCTGATAATAAGAAACCCCACCAACACCATCTTCGGTAAGCTCATGATCTTCTCCCATATGAGTATGACCAATTAATTTGTTTATCCAATCAGCTTTGAATTTTGCTGAGGCTCTGCTTCTTCCATTTGTTTTTAATTTGTCTTCTTTTTGTTCTTGTTTTTGTTTCTTAAGTTCGTAGTTTAGTTAAACCTTAAAAGTGATTTGTTCAGCACAGAAGGTCTACTTATTCATTATTGTTTGCTTGTAACATAACAACTAATTAGTAATATCATTGTGGCAGAGTGAGAGAGTGACAGAATTTGGAATAGTTTACAGAATTTTTATATTAACGATATGCTTTTATTTTCATCTTATGACCTGTTTCCTTGGGGAATTGTGTATTTCTAATTTCGTCATCAATTTGCAGACGCAAAAAGGTTAATTGGTAGGAGGTTCAGTGATGAATGTGTTCAAAATGATATGAAGCATTGGCCATTCAAGGTCATTCAAGGTCTTGATGATAAGCCAAAGATTGTGGTTACCCACATGGGCGTAGAGAAACAATTCGCTGCTGAAGAAATCTCATCTCTGGTTCTTGTAAAAATGCGGGAGATTGCTGAGGCCTACCTCGGTTCAACTGTGAAAAATGCAGTTATCACAGTCCCTGCTTACTTTAAAGACTCACAGCGACAGGCTACGAAAAATGCAGGTGCTACTGCTGGGCTAAATGTGATGCGTATCATCAATGAGCCAACTGCTGCAGCCATTGCTTATGGGCTTGACAGGAAGTCTGGTTGGTACAGCAAAAGAAATGTGATGATATTTGATTTAGGTGGTGGTACTTTAGATGTTTCACTACTTACCATAGCTGATAGCGTCTTTGAAGTGAAGGCCACTGCTGGAGACACTCATCTAGGAGGTGGTGACTTGGATAACATAATGGTGAATTATTGTGTTGAGCAATTCAAGAGGAAGCATAAAGTGGACATTAGTGGAAACTCCAAGGCTCTTATGAGGTTAAGAAATGCCTGTGAGAAGGCGAAGAGGAGGCTTTCATTTATGTCTGAGACTGACATTGACATTGATTGTTTGGATCAGGGTGTTGATTTCTGCTTAACTATTACGCGTGCCAAATTCGAGCAACTCAACATGGATTTCTTCGAAAAATGCATGGAGCCCGTGGAGAAGTGTTTGAAGGATGCTAATATGGACATAAGCAGCATCCATGATGTTGTCCTTGCTGGTGGCTCTTCTAGGATCCCCAAGGTGCAACAACTGTTGCAGCATGTGTTCAATGGGAAGGAGTTGTGCAAGGGCATTAATCCTGATGAGGCTATCGCATACGGTGCCGCTGTTGAAGCTGCAGTCTTAAGTGGTGGGAATCTAACTGGGAAGATTCAAGACTTCACACTGTTGGATGTCACCCCTCTCTCACTTGGGGTGGAGATTGGGAGGTTGGATAAGGTTGATTCCCATGATATGTTTGTTATAATTCCAAGAAACACCAGAATTCCTGTCAAGAAGAAGAAGGGTATGACTACTCTCATTGACAACCAAAAGACTGTCTCGTTTCCCATTTACGAGGGTGAGAGTACAACAACTACAAACAATAACTTTTTAGGCTCATTTTACCTTCAGGACATTCCTCCAGCCCCAGCAGGTGTTCCTGGATTTAAAGTTTGCTTTGAAATTGATGCAAATGGTATCCTGAGTGTCTCTGCGGAGGATAAGTCTACCGGCCAAAAGAAGGGTATTACATTCAACAGTGACAGAAGAACTTCTGAAGGAATTGAGACATTGCCTTAAGAAAGTATCTAGACATATGTAAGAGAAACGTTAATTTCTGGCCGTGAGTTTATATGTGGCTCAAAATCTTGTATTCCTATCTATCCATCTTACTTTGGATTTACTGATATGCTGAACTTGTGAAGGTATTGAGACAGTCATGTAAGGCACATTAATTTATGCCATGCTAATATTGAAATAGCATATTAAATCAATCTGATGTTGTTTAGGGGTTTGCCATATTTTTATTATTATCTGTATATTAATGTTATCACATAGACCTTGATTGTAATTGGAAGAACGAAGCATTATTTTTTGTTTTTTTTGTTTTTACATTTAGTAGACTCAAGTCATCATTTTCCATGGAAATATCTGGTTTGGGATGAATTTGTGTACAGAATGAAGACATTAGTGGAAACCCGAGGGCTCTTGCGAGGTTAAGAAATGCCTGTGAGAAGGCGAAGAGGAGGCTTTCATTTATGTCTGAGACTGACATTGACATTGATTGTTTGAATCAGGGAATTTATTTCTGCTTGACTCTTACACGTGCCTAATTCAAGCAATTCAACATGGATTTCTTTGAAAAATGCATGCAGCCTGTTGAAAAGTGTTTGAAGGATGCAAATATGGACATAAGCAGCATCCATGATATTGTCCTTGCCGGTGGCTCTTCTAGGATCCCCAAGGTGCAACAGCTTTTGCAGGATGTGTTCAATGGGAAGGAGCTGTGCAAGGGCATTAATCCTGACAAAGCTGTCGCATATGGTGCCGCTGTTCAAGCTACTGTCTTGAGTTGTGGAATTCAACTGGGAAGCTTCAAGAATTCACTCTTTTGGATGTCACCCCTCTCTCACTTGGGGTGAGTATAAGTTATGAACATATCATGTCAGTTGTGATCCCAAGAAACACCAGAATTCCTGTCAAGAAGAAGGAGGGTTTTACTACTCTCTTTGACAACCAAGACGTTGTCCGCTTTGCCATTTATGAGGGTGAGAGTACAAGAACTATGAACAATAACTTTTTAGGCGCATTTAACCTCAATGACATTCCTCCAGCTCCACAGGGGGTCCCAAAATTTGATGTTTGCTTTCATATTGACGGGAATGGTATCATGAGTGTCTCTGCTAAGGACAAGTCCACCGGCCAAAAGAAGGGGATTACATTCAAAAGTGACAGAAGAACTTCCGAAGGAATTGAGACATTGCCTTAAGAAAGTCCATAGACAGATGCAAGAAACGTTAATTTCTGGCATGCAATAGACTGATATAGCTTTTATTAATCAAATTTCACACCTTGCGGGTGTGTTATTACTGTAAACTAGTCCTTTTTGGTTGTGGCGGTTGTGTTACGAGATGAATCAGAAATTCGTGTGCTGGGGTGAGGCCTCCGACAATCAACCCGTTGGTGGCTTGTTCTTGTGTAATGTTTTATTGCTTCCATTGGCCCTCTGTTGTCAACAATGTCATGTCTAAGATACATGAGCTTTTGAACACTGCTACTTTATAGAATGCAAGAGTAATAATAAGGTAAGGTTGGTATTTTTGAGTGGTATATAAATGGTACAAAGATAAAAAGAGGCGTTTTTTAGTTTGATGCTTTTACATACAAGTTAGCACTGCCAAATTTATCATTATCATTATTATCTTCTTCTTTTTTGGCAGTAACTAATGGCCAAAAAAATAAAAGAATTGCCACGTTTTTTGAAAAACCTAACTTAAGAATTGCCACTTTTTGCCAAGGGATACCGCCATAGTGGATTGTATGCTTAGGCTCAAGCCCAAGGTCTGGGGTTCGACACCCCTAGCATCCAGCTGCGTTTAGTTCATGGAAAAATGAATTTGGGAATGATAAATTATTTGCTTTCCCATGTTTGATAAGTCCAAACTTAGGAAATGATTTCCTGACTCATAGAAAAATAGGTGAAAAATGAAATTGTTCATCTAGTTTGGGTCTCATTTTTCCTCCTCATGGAAAACCAATACAAGCATTAATCACATCTTTATATGACCAATTTACCACTATTAACAATTAAAAGTACTGAGGCAAACATTAATTACACATTTTAATGCATATTTCTGATTTAGGGATATAATTGGAAAACTAAGCAAAATGTATTTTTAATCCCTGCAAACGAAACATGTGAAATGAAATAAAATGAAATTTCTTGTTATCCTTTGATTTCCCTTCCCATAGAAAACTACACAAGAATTAATTTCCCATCAATTTATTTCCGTGAATCAAATAGAGCCTTATATTATGTGCATATTATTTATTTCCCCCTCCCCCATTGCTTGTAATAAAAAATTATAAAAAGAATTGCCAATTTTCCGTGGATTTTTTTTTGCCAAAACTTTTCCAAGGATAACCATACAATACGTTGTCCAAAAAAAAACTATACTTCAATAATATGTTTTCGAATCTACCTTTTCGAATATCTTTCCTATTGAGATGGGCGATAGAATACTAAACTCACACACACTACACGGATGCTAGGATTCGAAACCATTACCTCTTCTGGGAGAGCAATTGCTCTAAACAACTACACTAGTGGGTCATTTGCAACAATAGAAGTATGATAGTAATGCAAGAATTATGTAGTGAGGGCTTTATATGTGGCTCTTAGGTGATGCTATATCTTTTAATCGTTGGATCAAATCAGTTAGTCGTTTGATTAAATTAGTTAGCATGATCTAATGATTAAGAGATAGAACATCACTTAAATGACCATATGTAAAACCCTCACTATAGAATGACTCAATAGTAATGACGTCAAGGTAAGGCCCAAGTTCCACTCCACTAGGCCTGACGTCAAGGTAAGGTCCAAGTTCCACTCCACTAGGCCCACCTTCAATATCTCTTCTTCCTTTAAAATAGTTTAGAAGTTTAAAAATCAGACAAATAAAATGACGATAAAATGATGACGTTAACCCAAAACAAATGGTAATAAAACACAACCCTGCACAACAATTTAGACAAAACTAAAATAGTTGAACTTCTCTGTTGTTCTTCCAATTGTTCTCTTCGGTCATTTTTCTTCTTCTGCTATTTTATTCTTTGGGTTTTTGAGCTGAGAATGTCTGGAGAAGAAGGTCATCCAGTTGGAATTGATTTGGGGACAACGTACTCTTGCGTGGCAGTGTGGCAGCACGATCGTGTTGAAATCATAGTGAACGATCAGGGCAACAGGACCACTCCATCTCACGTTGCCTTCACTGATACTGAGACATTGATAGGCGATGCTGCTTTTAACCAGGTCATCAGAAACCCTACAAACTCCATCTTTGGTAAGCTTTATCTTCCCACGTCCAAATTATATATGCCACTTCTTTGTTCTGTAGATTTCCTGTGAGGCTGTGTGTTTTCTAATTTTTCTGTTTTTTCTCTGTTTTTTTTCCCTCTACTTCTTTGTCTAGTTTTATATTGCATTTTTTTTAATTCCAGCGTTTATTGAAGTTGAAAGTTTTGTCTTGATTTTAATATGGGTGTTCCTAATTAGGGAGGATTAAAGGGTACTGCTTAAGAAGCCATAGCTTAACTCAGTATTATGCTTTCAGTTTCATAAAAAGTATGCTCTCACCAGTTTTCTAGTGCAAATATGATCTTGTTTTTCTATACAGAAATTTGCTGGTGCGTGGCAAAGTTTGTAAATTTCTTTTTCTTTGTTGGATTACTTTTCTAAATACGGCATAAATTTTCAGATGCAAAACGGTTGATAGGAAGAAGATTTAGTGATGCATGTGTTCAAGATTATATGAAGCTCTGGCCCTTCAAGGTCATTGAAGGTCCTGATGATAAGCCCATGATTGTGGTTACCAACAAGGGCCAAGAGAAGAAGTTTTCTGCTGAAGAAATCTCATCCATGGTTCTGATGAAGATGCGAGAGATTGCTGAGGCCTACCTCGGCTCAACTGTTAAGAATGCGGTGATCACAGTCCCTGCTTACTTCAATGACTCGCAGCGTCAGGCTACAAAAAATGCTGGTGCCACTGCTGGCTTAAAGGTGACACGTATTATCAACGAACCCACTGCTGCAGCCATTGCTTACGGCATTGACAAGAGGGCTGGTTGGTACAGCAAGAGAAATGTGCTGATGTTTGATTTCGGTGGTGGTACGTTAGATGTGTCCCTGCTTTCCATAAGTTGTGGTGTCTTCGAAGTGAAGGCGACTGCTGGAGACACTCAGCTTGGAGGTGAAGACCTTGATAACAAAATGGTTAATTTCTGTGTTGAGCAATTCAAGAGGAAGCATAATTTAGATGTGAGTGGAAACTCCAGGGCTCTTAGGAGGCTAAAAAATAGTTGTGAGAAGGCAAAGAGGAGACTTTCCTTTACATCTTCAACAGACATTGAAATTGACTGTTTGTATGAGGGTACTGATTTTTATGTAACTGTTACTCGAGCTAAATTTGAAGAACTCAATAGGGATATCTTTGTCAAGTGTATGGAGCCTGTGGATAAGTGTTTGAAGGATGCCAAAATAGACATAAGCAGTGTCCATGATGTTGTTCTTGTTGGTGGCTCATCAAGAATTCCCAAGGTGCAGCAACTTTTACAAAATGTTTTCAAGGGTAAGGAGCTGTGCAGAGGCATTAATCCGGATGAGGCTGTGGCTTATGGTGCTGCTGTTCAGGCTGCAATCTTGTGTGGCAAGGGAAATGAGAAGCTTCAAGACCTCACTCTCTTGGATGTCACCCCTCTATCACTCGGTGTGGAGACTGGACGAGAGCGCGACATGACAGTTGTGATTCCAAGAAACACCAAGATGCCTGTCAAGAAGAATTATCCTGTTACCACTCGCCATGACAACCAAGCTGTTGTTAGATTCGCCGTTTATGAGGGCGAGAGTACAACGACGTTGAATAATTACTATTTGGGTGATTTTAGGCTCAAAGATATTCCTCCAGCTCCAAGGGGTGTCCCTAAATTCAACATCTGCTTTGAAATTGATGCCAACGGAATTCTGAACGTATCTGCCGAGGACGTGTTGACTGGCCAGAAGAAGGGGATTACCCTCAGTAGCAATGACACAAGTTGTGAGGGAATTGAGAAGATAATGTAAGAAAGGTCATGTTATGATGAACACTGAAACAGTCTGTTATAATTAACTGAGCTGACACAACTATGTAATTCTTCTTGGGTTTTATAGATATAATGTTTTCAACCATTATATTAACTTTAATTTGTATCCCCTTAATTTAAAACCTAATACTTCATCCAAATATACTTAGAAAACTAACACCAATATGTGAGTTTAGATGTGTGGCAGCAGGATTATGCTGAAATGGCAGGCAGGCAGGGCAATATCTTACATTGGATTTACTGATGCTGAACTTGGGAAGGAATTGAGACAGCCATGCTATTGAAATAGCGTATTAAATCAATTTGATTGTAAATGGAAGAACCTATTTGTTGTCCATGGCAAAAAAAAAAATGGTTATTTAAATTTGGCTGTCCACTTACGTTCATTTCTTTGGCTGCCAGTGCCAACCTCACCAAAATTGCCACTTCTCTTTCCTTTGTTTTCTTTCCCGCTCTCTCTTTTTCTGTATAATTTTTTTTTTCGTGGTACAGTTCTTTATTAGCTTCTTGGTGCGGCAACTCCTTTTTCTGTATGTCTTTCTTTCCGGCTCTCTCCCTTTCTCTATTTCCCTTTCTTCTATTTCTTTGGCTACCGTACATTTCTTCTTTTTCCTTTTCATCCCCACCAAGAAAGAACCTTTAATTTTGTCGTGTGTCATCCTCCTCTCCCTCTCTAACAACTGCCAAAAAAGAAAAGAAAAAAGAGAACCTAGAATTTTTTTCCTTTCTCCAAGTGGGTGACATACATCAGTGAAAGAGAGAGTGAACAAAAGAATATAATATGAGGTATGAAATGGGTGTGCTTGTCAACTCAGTTTTTTTAATGTGTTGACACGATATAACCTGTTATTTAATAGGTGAAAAATACATGATACGAATATCACAAACCCTTTAACAACTCTACGCAACCCACCCACAACACCCCTATCTGAACTCAAATTCACGATTGCAACATAAAAGCAACAAACAATATGTAATGTAGACATCAAAATATCACTTAAATATCAAAACATCACTTAAATATCACTAATGTTGAAAAAGTTGACAATTGCCTTAGGTCCTGGCAATTTCGGTGTGAATGTTGAATATATCATTCCCTTATATTTTATTTCCTAATTTATTTAATTTGGCCTCTATTCAGTTTGTTCTTTTTAATTTTGAATTGAATAATCATGTTAGATTTTTTTCACAAACCTAACATAATGTTTATGTACAATCTTTAAAAAAAGATATATGTATGTATCTATAATCAGTAAAAAGTGGAGGTCATCATCTCTTCTATCTCCTCCCTCCTCTTCTCTCTCTAGACCCTAAAATCCTAAAATCCAAAGGGGTTGTATTCATGTGAGATTTTAAAAGACTATTTAGGGATAAAATAAGTCTTGCGGATTTAAGCAAAATATAATTACTTATATGATTTTTTTAATGGATTTCTATAATCAAGATTTTTTACTTATGGATCTTAAAGACTTCTATTACAAAATTTATAAAATTTGAAAGGACCACATAAATTTATTTCGGGGTTGACATAAGATTTTTTTACAAAAAATAGAACCTTAAAAATGAAACGCTAATATTGTTCCTATCTCTTAA